AACTACACAGTCAGGCAGTTGTCAAGATTTGATCAAATGAATGCTTGCACTATTATATGAATGGTTTTTCTTGTCAAAAATTGTGCATCCTAATCATAGTAACTTCTTTCCATTTTAGCTCTCATCCCTTGCATATGATCTATTATTTCAGTAATTATTTTATTTTATTTTTTTATTGATAATTTATTTCGAACACTTAATAAAAAAGCAAATATAAGTAAATTAATAAAGTCATAACAAAACAAAACAAAACAAAAAAGAAGAAAAAGAAAAAAAATATGTACATACCATCATGTTTGAAAAGGAGTAGGAAGAAGTAATAAAACTTATTAAATCCTACCCCTGTTCTATATTAACATTTACCTATGTTTAAGCATACATACATATCTGTATATACACACACACACATACATACATACATATATATATATATATATATATATATATATATATATATATATGTATATATATATATATATATATATATATATATATATATATATATATATATATATATACACATACATACCTATACATATATATACACGCATACATACTTATACATACACCCATATCTCAAACACATGCACACATACGTGCATATACATACACACCCACATAACTATAGACAGTATACACATATCTCTATCTACATATACATACACATATATCCATACATATCCATATACCAAAAACCCTTTTCTCTCACACTTTTTATATATATATATATATATATATATATATATATATATATATATATTTATTATTATTTCATCTCTCTTGACTTCTTATCGATTTTAATTCATATTGGCAGAGCAAGTTCTATTCCCCCTCAAGCCCCCTCCTCCCTGTATCTTGTAAAAATTATTTGTTTATATTTGTTTTTAAACTGGTTGATGTTTGGACATTGCTTCAAATCCATGCTCAGTCTGTTCCATAGCCTCACTCCACTATTTGTTATACAAAATCTTTTCCTTGCAGTTCTGTATCTTTGAATCTTAAAATTAGTTATCTCCCTTAAATCATACCCCCTCTCTCTCTCATAAAACAAATTTGTGAAGTGACTTGGTAATAGCTTATTTCTAGCTTTAAATAGAAATTGTGCTGTTTAAAATTCTATCATATCATAAAGCTTCATGATTTTAGACATTATAAATAGTGTGTTGGTGTGTTCTCGATATCCAACTTTATGAATTATTCTGATGGCTCTTTTTTGCAATATGAACAGTGGCTCTAGTGAACTTTTATATGTGCTTCCCCATACCTCCATACAGTAAATTAAATGAAGTAAGACCAAAGAACAGAACAGAGCATGGAGTTATTTGTAATCTAAATAATATCTTACTTTGGCTATTACAGAGATGCTTTTAGATATTTTAGTGCTGATGTATTTAATATGAGACTTCCAGCAAATCTTGTCATTTATTATCACCCCGAGAAATTTAGTTTCATATACTTTCTCTATATCGACCCCTCCTATCTGTACTCGTGCATGATGATTTATTTTTTTGTTACCAAATATCATGTATTTTGTTTTACTCAAATTTAGTGACAGTTTATTTTTATTTAGCCAGTATTTAATATTAATGAATTCTGAGGTGATAGTGTCCAAAAGTTGCTGTAAATTCTCACCTGATCCTATTATATTTGTGTCATCCACAAATAAAATAAATTTGAGTTTTTGGGATATCTTACATATGTCATTAATGTACATGATGAATAATTTAGGACCCAAGACCGACCCCTGTAGTACACCACACACAATGTCCAAACATCTTGACTGATGAGCTCCCATCTTCACAAATTGCTTCCTGTTTTTTAAATAACTTCTTACCCACTCTAGTGCCAGTCCCCTGATCCCATATTGCTCTTATTATTCTAACAGCTTGGTGTCATAGACCTGCCTAATTGGTTTATGTTTATTTCCAAAGAAGGATCCCATGCTTGGCTAAAACCCATGACCATGTAATGCATTTTTTATAGTTTTAACACTAGTTTGTTCCTATTTATCCACTCAATAGCAGCATTTAGCTCTAACTGCAAAACAACTTTCAGCTATTATTTTTCTACTGGTGCCTTTCCACTACCTTGGCATATTTTATGTAGTGGCACTCTGCTTCCCAAAAGTTCGTTGTACCACCTTTGCAGTTTGTCTAACAGCCAATATTTGAATCACTCGACTGAAACCAAGTCTTCTTTTATGATGTTTACTTGAAGAACTCAAAAAAGTACACTTACAGAAAAAAGTGAAAAGGCTCGGTACAGATCGGTCAAAAAATTGTGCTGCTTCCACCGTATCCAACTGCAATCTGAACTCAAACGTAAATACTAGAAAAATATTAATGTTACGCATTACGTAGTGGAAGCCAAATTACTTTTCACAATAAAAGTATCCTTTTGTATTAACTAAGTTATACATTCTAGAACATATACTCATCATGAATTTCTTAAAAGTAAATTAAACATATTTATACATTTTTAATCTAAATTATTATTCTATATGAACTCCCCATTAACTGGCTCTTACATTGTTTCAACAGGTTTAATGAAAACAATCAAACGTGGTTGCTTACATTAAAAAGACAATCAACTGTCCAATGACAAATTTTTATTTTATTTTATTTTATATTATTTTATTTTATTTTTTGTGAGCCCAGCAATAAATTCCAATCTCTAATATGAACAAATAACTTCTACAATAATGAAGCCAATCTTTTTCAAAAAGAAATGTAATTACAAATGTGAGGTATATTTATTTAGGTTTAATTTTAACACTTACCTTAAAAGCAAGGAACAATTACACTGCAAAAAAATCGAAATCTAAATAAGTAATAAAAGTGATTTTTTTATTTATTGAGGAGGTGAGACACTTTGCCAATGGAATAAAACAATTTACATTTAAAATAGGGGGGGGGGGGGGAGTATTGTATTGTCTTATTTTAACTGCATATTATTTAATTATCTTATTTGAAGAGTAAAATACTCATTCTATTGGTAAACAATCCCATTTACATACTCAAGTTAAGGGTAAATACATTTCATTTAAGAACATTTTACTTATTTCTACACTGTTTTTGCAGTGTAAGGGCCTTCAGAATATGTGTCTATTATAGGCCTCCTCTTACAAAGTTCAGAATCTAACCCAGTTGGCCAAATATAAGAAAAAAAGAGTGAATCCAAACATGTTTTAAATGCGGGCAAAGATTTCATCTCAGACTCACTCTGGTAAATTGAATTCTAATTATAGATGCACTTAGCAACCTCTCACTAATTCTGCCTCCCAGCAATATTACAGCTCATTTCTAGGAAGATGAAAACTGATCTGCTTTCAGTTCAGCTGCACTGTTTCAACTCAACCAGCAGAGGCTACCCTTGCTACACATATCATCCATGACTTGCTTTCAAGCAGCTAAGAGCATTCATTTCTGCTGACCCCATTATGCAAACAGGATCAAACTTATGAAGGAGTTGTTGCCCCATTAATGTTTCTGCTTTACATACATCAGAAAATCAAAACTGCTTCATGAGATCCACAGGAACCCAGTGGCATTGGAAGAACTTGGTGGATAAACTCTGTGCCGTAAAACTGCTGCCACACATTTATCCTGACATGCATTTGGACTTATCTAAAAATCTGCTTTAAAGCAACCACTAAAGCAGTTATTTTCCTTTAATTTGTAGTTTGTCCGGCATCCAGATGGCCGCTAATTCAAACCTCAGCTCCATCTTTCTCAGTCGTTGTGTCCTTTAGCAAGACCCTTCATCCACATTGCGTACTGATGGTGGTCAGAGGGCCTGATGCCTGCGTATTGCGGCCTCACTTCTGTCAGTGAGCCCCAGGACAGCAGTGGCTACAATATACACACCATCAGTTTGTATGTGTGTGAGTGGCTGAAACTAGTATTAAATGCTTTGGAGTTCCTTGACTTAAAAAGGTGCACAATGAGTACAGGCCATTAACCATGGCATGTGTACTAGTACAGGAAGTCTAAAATGTGTGGCGTACTAATGTTTCTGGATATTAAGCTAAGATGCAGAAACATGATGGGCTTTTTCTGGACTGATACATTTTAAAGACTTTTTTTGACAACATTTTCTGAATTTAAGTCTGAAATCCTTTTGTCGACTTCATGTGACCATTACAGGTTATATTTAAGGGATTTCTACATTACAGAAATTATGTTGTGTTTAAAACATAAGGGAGCTAGCAAAATAGAAATAAAATAACTCAAAAAAGGTGTTTAATTAAAGCTCATTCTTGATTCAACATGGGTGAGATAACTCGTTTACGAAGAGCCAAGTAAGTTAGAATAATATATTTCACCCAAAGAATGAGCTCTTTGTTTTAAAACAGTTTTTTTAAATTCACTGAAGTTTTTTATACATATATAATTAGCTTGAATTGAAAAAATTGAAAAAAATAAATAAACAGTGGAAAACTAAATTAGTAGGCAGGCTTATACTTGCTATATGAATTGTATATCAAAGCTGCAATGCTCATGCCTGGCAATTTGTCAAAGTACCCCCCCAAAAAAAAATCCATGGCAGACTTTGCCAGAGATCAAATTGCATGTGCTTCAGCATCAGTTTACCAGAAAGGCGATGCCAGAGCATGATGTTCAGGCTGTGTACCTTTGCTGAATTATACTGATACATAACAGACTGAGGTATAGAACTCTTAAACAAGCTGAATGATATCTGAGGAGGACAGCTTTGACCTGAAAACTGTAAAATCCGGTGGTCAGTTTGGGAGTAAATTGGGTGCACTTGCTTTGCCCAGCTGCCTTTCACTCATCTGTGAAGAGCCCTGCAGAGAACTGGTGCATCTTTGAAGTTTGCTCCAGGAAAGTTATCTACTTATTTATAGACGTTTAATTAGACTGGCTCTCTGGAGCTTTGACTGGGCAAATTATAAGATCTTCCCCTCTTTTTGTGTCTCTTTTCTATCAGCCCCCCACCACCCCCCACCCTCAGCCACCCTGTATCTGTACTCTATCCCTCACTGGCCCCCTTCATTACAACACCCTGTACTCAAGTTATGATGCAGTTCATGGGTTGCAGACTATTGCCCTATATTACCAGTAGAGCTCCAGTACAGAGTTATATTTGAGCTCAGAGTTCCTTGTGGAAGAAAGGACGGCTGAACGGTGAGTTTACTCTCTGCATGATGCATCGCTTTAACACACAGCACTGTTCTACACAAGGCCGGCCTTTGTTTAACCTTCTGTGGATTTATAAACTCTTTTTGTGAACTTGAAATGTGGGGACTGATTAGGGCTTATTGAATTTCTCATCCTGGACTTTGAATGAGCAGTGTGTTGAGTTTCTGATTGTCTCTTGCTTAAGTTACTCAACAGGTCTGAGTTGTTTTGGAATGAGGGGGATTGCGAAATCCAGCACTGGAACAGTGCATTGCTACCGTGTCACACACAGGCTGGGGGGGTGTTATGAAAATGTTTATTAGCCACTTGTTGAGATGAATGCTTTTGAGTCTAATGAATAATCAATGTAGGTGTTCAATATCATAGAGCCTAGATTATATTTTTTTAGATGAGGGTTATGTTCTGCAAAGACTGTTCTCATAACTATGTGGCAACCAGACAGTATTTTGCATTACATTTGCACTGCTGAACCTTTACTCCTCAGCCAAAAAGAACAAATTATAGGGTTTCTGAAGAACAACTATTAAGGTGTGGTGTATACTGATGATTAAAAAACCTGATGAAAAGCTTTTGTTTGCAGTTCCCATAGAAATCCAAGAGTCCTGCAAACATCTTAACTTTTTAAATCATTGTTTTCATCTCTTTGGTCCTTGCACTCGTTTGACTGCGGCCTCAAATCGAACCTCAATGAATAATACCGTAATGTATCTACAGTACTAGCTAAGAAAATAATAATAATAAAAAGATCTTCCTCTGTGATAGATGATATGAGGATATGAATGCTTCCACTTGGTAATTCTGCTTTTTTTCTATAATATTACACAAAAAGAGAAATATACTGTCCCATTGTGAAGCAGGAAAACTAGTCCACTACTACTATAATACTATGCTATCAGGGAGTGAAAAATGTTAGTACTTGTGTGGTTTTCTACAATTCCCAAAAGCAGAATTGGAGACAGGTATTTTACTAATCAGGCTCCTCTCCGTGGAACCAACTACCAGTTTTAGTCTGCAACACCCTGTCTATTTTTTAGACTAGGCTTAAAACTTGCCTTTTTTATTGCTACAAGCTATAAACCTAAAAGCAAGGAAGGCTAATGTTATCCAGAGCTAACTGTAATTATGCTGCTATAAGTTTAGGCTGCTGGAGGACATAAAGACCACTTTTCTCTCACTCTGCTTCATTTTCCTACTGTTCTCCAGAGATCTATTTTTGCATTTATCGCTTTAACTTAATGCATATTATCTTTTCTCTAGCTCTTCATAGAAGTAGCATCTTACCTGGTGTTTATGTTTACTTCAATTTAGTATATGCATTTTTTTTATCCAATAGATTGTCCAACCCAGAGATGATCTGTTATGTTTTTCCCTTACAGTACATGAGCCGGCTGAAGGAGCTAGTGTGACTACAGACAAGACACATTAAGAAAAACATCAGCCGCAAATGCAACCATTTAGACTCCTACAGGGCCTTGTGTGCATAAATCCTCTAATTGTTGTTTTGTCCAGTTTTTACGCTGCTAAATAAGTTGGTGACTAACTACATAAAGAGTTCTAATGGATATATAGGGGCTTTAATCCATTACAACACTTCTCTCCCATCCTGCAATCTACACAAAACATTATGGGTTTTCAGCCCTGGGAGGCCAAGTTTAACGTATGTTTGAAACACTTTGAGTATTGAAAGAGGAGGTCGCGAATCCTAGAGCACAGGACGGAGAATTTAGCCCAGCGTGTCAGAGTGTTTGCTTGAGGAACTGAAAATTCCTCCAGATGGTGAGCTGCATACCTCAGTGTCAGAATTCCCATACTCACTGCTCGCTGACAGATTTCTGAGGACACAGATACTGAAGACTGGGAAATCCAATGCCTGTGCTGACTTCATTTGCATAAATACAAGGGAAACAAATTGAATTTTTTATTTTGTTATATATATTTTGCAATCTCAAAGATTAAAATAATTTTAAAACTACAACAAGAGACAGTTTTGTGCTCATAAATGTACAATATAGTACCGTAATATATAAAATACTTTGATATTTACACTCGAAAATAAATATTTTCAATACAGACACTGGAGCTAGTTTTGCTTTAGCTACAAGTACAATTCAAAAGAGATATTTGACCGCATGGAACACATGTCTTAGCAGAAGAGATGACACAAATAAACACATAAGAATGTACAGATTCTTATGTGGGGGGATATAATCACATGTTGTAATAAGAGGTATTCAGACATGTCAATATATATTTTACTTATGGGTTTGTATGTTTTTAGTGTTTTGAAGGAGTTCTGAAAATCATGCAGAAACTTCTTAAAACTATAGTTTTCAGAAAGCCTGACTATTTTCCATTTGCAGAAATGAATATTAGAACATCAAAAGAACCAAATCAGACTGTCAGTGTAGACAATATTTACCAACTGAAAATTTGGAATCAATTTTAAGTGATTGCCAGTCAGGTAAAGTGAGACCAGAATTTTCTAAGGTTCTGGACGCAGGAAATATCAGGGGTCAATCATTTCCTCCATAGTTATTCAAAATCCATATTAATCTACTCCAAATGTTAATTTCAACGGTATATTTGGTACAAAACATGAAATTTAGTCATTTAGTCATTTATTTTAATTGTTGAAAGCAAGAAAATGAAAAACGAAAAATTATAATCCAGAAACAACGCTTTAAAAATATTTCCAATGTGTTTAACTTTTTTTTTTTTTTACCGATTTTGTTTTTACAAATTTTCTTTTTAACATTAAACTACATAGAAATGAAGAGACTGTGATCTTTAAAATACAATTTGAAAAGAGTGCAATTCATAAAGCTGAATCTGTAAAACAGAAATTTGAAAATGTTGTTTTATTTTTTAAATTTCTTTAGTAAACTTGTTCCTTGCTTGCGACAATAATAGAACAGCATTCACTCCACCATAGAAGACATATTACAGTGTGCAAATATGCTTCTGGACAAGTACTGTAAATATTTGAGACATGTCTTATTGTCTGATTGAACTAAAACGAAACTGATACTAATACATTTGGAGAAAAAATAGGAAGCCTAAGAAAACTATCCTTACTGTGAAGTATGGGAATGGAAACATCATGTTTTGTTGTAGCTGGGTCTAGTGTGCTTGAAAAAAAAAAACTACCTGATGAGGAAAAATCTTTATCTCGAAGTATGATGTCATTATCTCAAAAAGTTAGTCTGGTAGTTAAAGGTGATTATTAGTCCTATTTTTTTCCAAAATTTGTCATGAAACTATTTTAGAACAAAAAAATAAACCTTTCAGATTCACCATTAAAAAGCCCTGATTTCAGTTCCATATATTTGTGAACAAAGCTGATAGATGTATGATAAACAGCCCACAGTCTGACTTAGTTACAACATTTCTATGAGGAAGAATGGGCCACAATACCAGAAAACTATGGTGACAAGTTTCTGAAAGGAAACCCAAATGTTTGACTCTAAGTCATACAGTTTAAAAGTAATTTTACTAAACACAGATGGAATGTATTTAAACATCTGGCTTTAAAGACTTGGTTTTCACTGTAGTGGGATGGTGTGCGATTGTTCTACTAGTTTATTTAGAGAAGATGAAAATCCTTTTTACATGAGGCAGCCATATGAAATCAATTGCAAGGTAGTTAAAGGATAAAAAAGACAAGAAGACTTTCATGTGCTCGCAGTGTCAAGACCATATGCCACTCAAAGCAGTCATTAAGTCATGCACAGGCCTGATCAGGTTACCAGTAAAATGCAGGCTGTAGCAGCAGGAAAACAGTGTCTGCTTGGCCGGAGAACGGAAAAGGTTTTAGAGGATTTGGGAATGATGCGTAGTTACCTGGGATTCTATGTTTGTTTAGGATTCATGTTGGTTTGGAGAGCAACCTGCATGATACTGAGACCCGTTTCTCTGCTCGACAGAACTCACTATCAGTGAAAGGAGAATGATGGCGGAGAGCGGAGTCGAATTTGAGCAACCTCAAAGGCGTCTTGGTGACAAGAAGCAAGACAATGGAGAACTGACAGGTAAGAGTAATTTATAGCGAGGCACCAGTTTATGCCCATGTTAAACCTTTTGAGCAGGGGCACCGCCACAAATTTGGGGCCCCATATAAGACATTGACATCGGGCCCCCACCCAAAAAAAGATTATGCAAGCTTTAAAACTGCTATAAAGATGGACTGAAGAGCTTAATTTACATTTTAATAAAATTTTTACTGTTCAATTTCAACAAATGAAAATTATCCACACACGAAAAAGATAAATATACTTTAACTTTACATTAAAAATCATTCTCTCAAAATAAGAACAGCTTATTTAGAACAAAAAAAAAAAATTATCTATGTACAGATGAAAAGAAAATAGGTTTTGTATTATTTTGTTTCGCTATAAATTTAAACAAAGGACAGTTTATCTTTATGCTGTCGCTGAGAATTTATTTTTCATTAAAGTCTACATATAATGACAATAATGGTCAATATATTCATGCTTTGTTTCGCTTTTAATCCTGAAAGATCATGGATAACACAAAGATAATTTATTTTACTGGCAGATTTTTTTTTATATTTGAAATATTTAGTGAGACACATGTTTACTTGTTTTTGTAGGGCCCCCCCCCTCAGTCGATGGCACTTGGAATCTTCCTTGGCTATTGACTTAATAGTGTGTGCAAAACTATCCAAACAAAAAATCTATAAAACAGTCGCAAATCGATTTGTGTGTTTCTTCAGTCATTTTCACACCTGGTAGTCAGGTAGATTTGGACCAATTAGGGACCAAAATTGCAACATTGTTACTATTTTCATCTGGTGCAGCTTGCATTCACAAGGAAATTTTTCAAACCGAAACAAACCTGTTGATCCACCTGTTTACCCCCACCTGCAGTCCGGTTTGTCCATCACCACTAAAACATGTCTCTATGAGCTGCAAAACCATTACCCTGCATCTTCATTAAGGGTTTGCAAAATAATAGTCATGACGATGCATCGCAATTTTAATTTTTGTGATCTACTGCATCGATTCTTGAAGGCAAGAATCGATTATTTAAAAAAAAAATGAACAAATAAAATACATTAATGGTTGGCGCACATCAGCCAAATCAAGTGGAATACAACTTCCAGTCCAGCAGATGTCGCTGCGGATGTGTTGACGCCCGCTGCTTTGAGTCACAAGCATGTCCGGCCGAGGGATATTGAGACAAGTCATATGAAATAAAACATGGAAGACACTATGAAAATTCGCCCCACGGCTCCATCACATTTAAAGTCAGATCTTTGGATGCATTTTGGCTTTAAAAACAAAGAAGGTAAAAACGAAATTGATATGACGCACGTAATTTGCAAAAGGGGAAATGTCATAGATTTGAATGTTTTCGTTTCATTGCAATCTAGGTCCTCAAGGCCCCCTGTCCTGCAGGTTTTAGAGGTTTCCTTGCTCCAGCACAGCTGATTTTAATTGAAAGCTGATTAACAGGTTTTGGTCTACTGCAATCATTATAACCAGCTGTGCTGAAGCAGAGAAACCTCTAAAACCTGCAGGACAGGGGGCCTTGAGGACCGAGTTTGGGGATGCCTGGTTTAAAGGACCGATGAGGCCATGTAAACGGCACTGATTATCCTTATTTTGTTGTTTTAAGTTTGATGAATCCTAAGATCTTTTTGTCAGTGTGTCCACGCCAGTAATAGTAATATTTCTGTCCAGTATTTGTTTCCATGGCAACACCTCCAAAAGTCGTTTCAATAAATACAGCTATGTAGGAATTCAGTTGCTTTCAGTTATGTATCAATTGAAGACACTATCCAGATCATACCCAGCCAGTCAGCCTCTGATAAGGGCTGTATCCTTTTCTTACAGTGTTCAGTGAAAATATCGCAATGCATCGCAATATTTCAAGTATCATGATGCATCGTGATAGAATCGCATCGTGGCATGTGAATCGTGATTCGAATCGAATCATGACTTCTTTGCCAATACCCACCCCTAATCTTCATACATTTATATCAAATATGTTAGCTTGTCTTCAGTTCATTTATGTTTGTTTGTGGTTTAGACTCAAAGTTTCTTGTGGAAGAGAAGAATCAGAGAGACAGGGAAGACCAAGAAAGTCTGGTGTTATGGAAGAAACCTCTGCTCACACTTTATTACTTCTCCCTGGAAATGCTCATCACTCTTAACGGGTGGATATTGAGGTAAGGAAAATGCAAAACAATAATACACATCCATACAGCTGATGCAGTCGTCCATTTCATAAAAATACAAGGAAAAAAGTACTAAACATTGTAAAACCTGTTTTTTCTGAGACCTCTCTTCTTAAACCTGAGGGTTGTGTCTTCTAAACCCTTTTTATTTGTTTTATAAAAAAATGAAAGCCCTAGCAGTTAAAATGGAAAATATACGTGGTTCTAGACAAGGGACAACAGGGGCCAGTGCTCCTGTACAATAGGTCCCGGCCCCCGTTATGGCCCCTGACTGAAAACAGACTGAAAAAATGAAAATATATTTTTTATTTTCCTTTAATTAGAGTAGGAAAGAGACAGTTTGCAGATGGATTGAGATGATGTACATTAAAAATATCTACTTATCATATTTGAAGAGCAAAGATCCTAATTTCATTGACAGAGCATCTAATTTTCTTGGTCCAAATACAGGAAAATAGTATTACTCTTATTAATACATTAATACATTTTTCTTGTTTAGAACAATTTAATCCGAGCAATACTAAATATGTTTATGATGGTATCCACTAATAGATGAGAATGGAACTAATTTGTCCCTTGGACCAATTAAAAATGTTACAGTTTAGTTTGACAGTTATTTAGAAATTGAAGTTAGTTTTAAACTTTAGCCGTATTAAATAGGATCACAGTTTTCATCTGTTACATCAGAGGCCCCTTTCACAAAGCAGGTTTTGTCATGATATTGGTCTTTCTCATCACTGCTTATCTAATCTACCTGCACCTGCCTCTATTTAAGGTGCCTGCATCCAGTATTCAGGGCCAAATTATTCTTTATCTGTCTAGCCAGTGGTGAGGGTGTTTATAGTGTACCTTGGTGTTTCTAATTTTCTGATCCTGACCTGTAATGCCTTTCAACCACTGAGCCTGCCTGTTAACATCTGATCACAGTAGTTAGAGTGTTTTTAGCCTACCTGAGGGTTTCTGATTACCTAATCCTGGCCTGTTCTGCTGCTCAACCATTGATCCTGCCTGTTCCCATCTGGACGGTTTGCCTGACCTGGCTTTGGACTCCCAGACCTCTGTGACTGCCTGTTCCTGTTCTGATCTGTTTGCCTGACCTGGCTTTAGACTCCTGTACCACTAAGCCTGCCTGGTTCTGTTCTTATCTGTTTGCCTGACCTGGCTTCAGACTCTGAATGTTCTTTGGGGCTGTAGCATCTGGGACACTCTGGGTGGCGCCTGCTACATATTGATGGCAGCCCACCAGCTGGATCCTACAATTGCCTTCGAGTCACTACGGGGTTTGGGATGGTACTTAATGTGGCAGACCCTCAGTGGGAAAGCGCACGTTCCTCCAACTTCAGGTTACACTCGTTTCACACTGACAAATCAGTTAAATTCAGTTTATTTATATAGCGCCAATTCACAACACATTTCATCTGAAGGCATTTTATAATTCACCAGATCATACAGTCAAATTGATTCAAAGTTTTCTATCTAAGAAAAACAAGTTGACTGCACCGACTCTCACACTAAGCATGCTTGTAGCAACAATGGAGAGGGGGAAAAAATCCCTTTTGCCAGGAAGAAACCTCCAGCAGAACTGGACTCAGTGTGAGCAGCGACCTGCCAATGAAGGGGTTTTTTAAAGGATAAAAAGCCAAGATAGAAGAAAAAAAGAGTTTAAAAAAAGGGGGAAACTTTTTAACCCTTTAAGCCCCCCAAAAGGGGAAACCCCCTTTTTGGGAAAACACCAGGGGACAGGAAAGAGCCCCCAATTGGCCTCCCTTTTTCAGGGGGGAAGGGAACATAAAAGCGTAAGGTAAAAACAGTAAACCCGGGAAAAAAGGGGTCAAAAACAAAAATTTAAATTTTAAAATTCCTGGGGGCAAAAATTAAATTTTTTCTCCATTTTAAAACCAAATAAATTGTTTTTGAAATGTAAAAACAGAGGGAGCCATTACCCGTTAAATTTTTTCTTTTTTTCCCAGCGGGGAAATAGAGTAGAATTTGCCAGGGGTTTAAAAAAGGGGCCACTCCCCCGGTCTAAAAAAGCCGAAACATCCCTAAATTAAAACCTTTTTTGGTCCTGGGGCCAATTTAAAATGGTTTTTTTTTAAAAGTAAAGCTTTAACCCGGATTTAAAAGTGGGCGGGGGGTTTTTCCCCTTTTACGGTTTTAAAACCCCCTGGAAGGGGGTTTTCCCTGGGGGAGCCCCCTGAAAAACCCCTTCTTTCTTTTTTAGGACCCCACTTTCCTGCGATTGAGGTGAGGGTCCGTTTGGAATGCACCTGGTTTCCCCGGAACAGCCCCTTCAAAAAAGGGGGCTATTGGGGGTTAAATTTCCAAAAAATTTCCATAAGAAAGATAAAACTTGCACCCTTATATTTGGGGGTAGTTTCATTCCCACAAGGGTTTTGGGGGTTTTTATTTAAAATCCCCTTAATTTTGGACTAGGCCCTTTTAAACCCCCAAATTTTCTACCCCACAAAACGATTTTATTAAAAATTTAAATTTTAAAAAAATTAAAATTTTTTTTTAAAAAAAATATATAATATAAAAAAATATTATATATATATATATTATATTATATATATATAAAATATATATATATTTTAAAATTATAAAATAAAAATTTTATAATAAAATATATAATATATTATTTTACGGGGTGCTGGCAAAAAATTTTAAATATCTTTTAAAAAAGTAGATTAAATTTCGAAATTTCCCTTTTTAAAAAGTAAAAATTTGGGTATATTAAAATTCATACTTTACAAAAAAAAAACCCATATATTTCAGATGTTTTTTTTTGTTTAATTTTGAGGATTACAAATAAAACAACAAATGAAAAACCCTTCAAATTCACCCATATCAAAAAAATTGAAAATTACTGAAGACCAATAAAAAAAAAGGGTTTTTATAAAAAAATGTTGGCCAACTGAAAAGTATAAAACCTGAAAGTTTGGCGTCAGAAATCAGTTTTTTTGGGGTTGGGCCTCCTTTGGCCTGTATTACGCAAAAAAGCGGCGGGGGCATGGAGTCGTTTCGGGCCCCTGGGGGCCCACTGCTCATGTTTTTAAATGATAGCCCGGGTTTGCTCAAAAAAGGTGGCTTTTAGCTTTTCTGAATTTTTGGGGTTTTGGGTGTTTTTGGGAAAACTTCTTCTTCCCCAATCCCCCCCCATGTTTTTTCTAGGGTTTTTTAAGGGGTCGGGAAGGTTTGCTGGAAAAATTTAAAAAACGGGGTTTCCATGGTCCTTAAAAACCGGGGTACTGGTTAGCTTTCCCACGGTGTCCCGGTCCCAAAGCCCCTGTTGGAAAATAAAAATTTTTGCATCTAAAAAAAAATTTGGGGTCGGGTTTGGCAGGAAGCATGAATTTGGCTCAACAACTTCCTGGAAATGGGGGCTGGGGGGTTAAAAACCCTTGGACCCAGGAAAACACAATGGCCCAAAAACCCCCAGCAGATGACATGGAACCCCAAAAACCATCACGACTGTGGAAAAATTTAACCCCGGGAAACTTAAAACAACGTGGTGAAGGGGGCCCTCCCCTTCTTTTCCCTCCGGGAATTTTGGGCCCTTTTGGTTTTCCCAAAAAGGAAAAATGCAAAATTTACTTTTAAAATCAGAGAAACTTATTTTGGGACCACTCCCCACAGTCCAGCCCCTGTTTTCTTTAGCCCAGGAAAGAGGGCTTCGGACGCTGTCTGGGGTTTTCAAGAGTGGTTTTAAACAAAAGGGAAAGCGACAGCAGAAACCCATGCCCCTTTCTTTTAGGGTCGTGTGGGGGTGTTTTTTAAGCCCCTCCCCCAAATTTTCGGGTCCCTCTATTGGGGAATTTTCCCCCCACATTTTTAAAAAGGGGTTTTTTTGTTTCACAATCCTCTCCAGGGTGGGGTTTATCTCTCGTTTGGGTTAACCTTTTTTTGGACCACTTTTTTTCCCTTCCCTTCCCCTTTCCTTTTTAAGGGTCCCTTGGAAAACTAAAGCCTGTAAAAAGGGCCCAGCCTTTTTAAAAGCGAGGGGCCCTTTTTGTGTCTTCCCCCTCCTTTGTGCAAGGGGGCCCATGGTCGTTTTTTGGGAAAAAATTCCCAAGTCGCGGGTTTTTCCCCATGTTTGTGTAGCCTATAAAAACTAGACGGGAAAGACCTTTTAAAGGGTTTTTTGGGGGGTTTTGGGGATTTTAATTAGCTGATTTGAGTGGGGCACCAGGGGCCATAAATTTTAAACCCTTTTTTCCAAAAATATTCAAAATTTTCAATATGATGAATTTGAGATTTTCATTTGTTGTCTTTTTGAAAACATCAAAATTAAACAAAAATAAACATCTGAAATATATGAGTTTGTATGTAATGTATGAATATAATATACAAGTTTCACTTTTTAAATGGAATTACTGAAATCAATCTACTTTTTCATGATATTCTAATTTTATGACCAGCACCTGTATATATATATATATATATATATATATATATATATATATATATATATATATATATATATATATATATATATGACAACCTTTAAGCTCTAGGGAAAATGTTTATACGGTATCAGGCACAGAGGTTGAGTAAATTCTTCATGAAACAGAAAACTCAGGGTTTCTCTGATTTTACGTTTAGAAAACATAAAGATTCCATTAAGCCTGCTTCCTGAAATGGAACCCAGTGGTCTGCCAACTTTGATTGACAGCCACAGCTAAAACTGGAAACCGGTATGCCACTTTTGAAAAATGGTATATGCTATTTCAAAAGTGGCATATGCCATTTCAAAAGTGGCATGCGCCAATTAATAAGTTGTATGTACCAAATAAAAAACAGCATATGACACTTTGAAATGGCATATGCTAATTTCACCAAAGGAATGGGTGCTGAATTTCATAATCTGATTTTATTGACATTACATTATGGGGAGATTTTTTTGTTCCATCATTGTTGTAAGCAAAAACATGTTTTTTATATCAAATTTAAAAAAGCAATCCGGGAATGAAACTTTGAAAAAAAAGACT